GGCGTACGTGGCCGCAGCGGCCGAAGCTTGTTCAAGACTCGTTGGAGTCTGTCGCAAACTTAGGTGCACGCACAGCGTATAGACTTAAACGAGGCGAGGTCTCCCTAGGTGTTTTCTAATGAGGTTTGGTTTCGTTGGTTTCTGTCCCCTTCATTTGTTTCCCCTCTCATCCTTTTCCCGTTCACACACATCTGTTTTCCTCTTTTCTTTCATGTCCTCCTGTCTTCATGTCTTTTCATCCCATTCTTACTTTCGTTTGCGCGCGCATTGGTCCCGGCCTTAGCGTGTACGCGCACAACCACATTTACTTCAAACCCAGGTTTTAGGTGGCCTAGGCCTAGGTCTTTACAATGAGGTGGGTTTCATTGTTTGTCCCTGTGCACTTGGTTCCCTTTCATCACAACCACATACGCCTTTGTCGCGTCCCGTCCCCTTGTCATGTCTTCATTCTTTTGTCTTTCGCGCGGGCGCGCGCGGGCGCATGCGTTTTGCCTGACTCTTAACAGCGGCACTCCAACGAAGAGGCTGTTTTGGGTCACTGATGTGGATTCTGGACGCAGAATCCACGTACCTGCTGAAGTGTGATGTTCACAAGCTGTGATTCTACTCTTCCTTAAAGGGCTAGTGCACGCGGCAGACAAGAGCGTACGTCGTCAGCTTGTCGTTCGATCGATCGTTGTTTCCTTTTGGATTTGATGGGCGCCAGAAACTTGATGGACCTCCACTTCCTTTCAGGGTTTTCACGTGTACCTTTAGGAAATGGTTACCTAGGCCGGCGTGTGGCAAAGGCTTTCAAATCAGTACGCATTTCTATATATAAGTGTGTGCGTGTGTCTTTGACATTCTTGGGGTCTCATGACAGGACAATTCCTTTTTGTTCGTCACTTTCCCGTTTTTGGCGCAAGATGTTCAACCTGCCAGGTCAAAGTGCAATCCAAGTCTATCCGACTAGCAGTATGTAAGACATCCAGTCAACCCTCCCTTCTGCACTGACACCTTGTCATCTAGCAACTGTTCCCGCAGGCGCCCCTTCAAGCGGATTTTTGATGAGTGGAAAAGTGGTGTGGGAAAAGCATACTTGACAGACTTCACAGCATAGAGAAGCAGCTGGAGAATTCCTGAATATGCTGGAGGATGTCAGTTGAGAATTTGGTGAGCCTCCCAGAGCCTATTTTTCAGCGAACCTTGATCTTGCTGGAGATCAAGAGTAGCTTAAGCGAGTGCTGGCAAAATGCCAGCGTTGCTTTCGATGACTTGAGGTTCTTCCAGAAGGAACCAAAGAAAAAGGGGTGTAGAGCAATGTACATGAAATCCACCAACAACTTTAGCAGATTTCATATGGTCAAGGCAGCAACAATGTTTGTGCCCAACACCCTGGTTTTCAGATGCTAAACCACCAACACGCCCTTTGTGCTTGGTGGGACAACCCAGGTACCATCTTGACGGAGAACATCTCGACAGTGGCATTGCTACCCTTGGAACGAATGCTGGATGTGGTTCGTCCCTTGGCACTTTCAATCGAACTTTGCTTGGCGCGACGGATTTTTGTTTTTGGTTCTCTTGAGAACCTGTATGTTCTTTTTCTCCGAACTGAAAGGGGCTTGGCTTGGAGGGTGACCCTTTGATTTCAGGACAGGCCATTTTGCTGGGTGATATTTTTTTCTTTTTGCAGGTCATCGATGCGCTCAGATCTTCAAGTACACGAATGCCCTTCAGGAGCAAGAAATCAGAGTATGTTGGATTCAGGATCTAATGGTTCGTTTTATGTTGCAAGTCTTGGATGTGATATGTTTCAAGCGTGACCTCACTTTGTTTCAGAAACATGTCTAGCCTAACAGACAACCTCTCCTTTTGAAGGCTTCACGGCTTTGCATTTTGAAGGTCTGAGTCCGACCATCATCTCCATCGACGGTCTCCATCTTGACAGTTTGAACATGTTTGAACCCAACTTGTTTTCCCTCCGGACCATTTTCTTGAACAGGATTGTTTTCCTGGTTCCTGGTTATCATGACAAGCAGCTGCGCCCACAGGAAGAGGCTTCGAGCGATGAAGATGAGGAAGAGGAGGATGAGGATGAAGATGAACCTGAGGCAGCAACCAGCGACATGAAGATGAACGATTGCACCCAGCCCTGCATGGGCCGCATGGGGTCTTATTATAACTGCAAGGTTGTCAGTTGTATACTGAGTCGTATTGGGAAAGAAACAAACAACACACACAACTCATCATGTTCTTTGGCGCCTTTTAGAGGAATTCACCTCTCTTCCATCAACAGGAGAAAGAAGAAGAGACTGACAATGAGTTCGCGCTGTTGGAAAAGGCATTGACCTGCAGTTGAACCTGGCGTTGCCTGGTGTGGCAAATGGCTCCCTAGTTGGAGTAGACACTTCATTGAAGCCAGAAGAACTTGCTATCTCAATGTCTATAGTTTGGTTGTCCGGTTGCTTTTATGATGCATGCATGTATGGGCTTCCTTTAATTACATCCTGGAACTTCAGACAGTTCCACCTCTTTTGGGATGGCAGGTTCCGCATGAGCAGTCAGAAACCTGCTTCGCAGGCTGTCGCGAAGCTTGGAGCCATCGCCGCACTTTCAGCCCAGGCCGGCGGAGAAAAAAGCCACTGTTGAGTGGGTGGCGCCATCGCCCCTCCAAGCGATTTCGGGTTTTTATGGGCCTTTGACCCGCTTATAGTGGATTGAGAGGACCAATGGCACAGACCCCCCTTGGGGGTGGCGTTTCTTTGACCCCCCATGTAAAGGACATTTTGAGGTTTGTGCCATCTACTCTAAAACCTCTATATACAAAGGTTCTTCCAAAGCTGCGAGGGATGTGGTCATGACAGCTGGATTTCCAGCTGATGACAGTGAGACTTGGGACGCTCGCCAGTCAGAACTTCCATTTACGGCCCAAAGCCGGAGATCACATATACATCCTCGGCTTTGTGCTGGTGCATTCTCGCAGTCCTCGACACTTTTCGAGGTCCTTCGGTCCTTCGTCTTGTCCGGTCTCTTGTCGTCAGCTCGTCCCTTCCTTCGAGCCATCTGATCCCATGAGGATCCTGCGCAAAAGATGTGGACTGAGAATGACATCATGGCATCATGGATCGAAAAAAATGCGAGGGGCAGGGGCAGTTGGAGCGTCGAACCATGCGAGGGGCAGTTGGCGAGTTGGTTGTCGGTCAAATCTGGAGGTACTTGACTCATTGACGGTAGAATCTGGATTACACAATACGGCCCCCCATTTGGATTGTAAAACATCTTCATATGGTCTCTTTGATTTATCACCATTCTACATGACCTTTCAGGCAGCAAAGTCTTCTTCGGCTCTGTGAATCATCATGGTGGCTCCGTTGAGAAAGAACCTTTTTTAAGCCAGGTGATGGAAACTGATCGTTGTAGTGATCAACCGACATGACATGACAAGCGACGTTTTTGTTGGTGTCGTTAATTTTGTATACCTGGAGGTTTGTTTTTTTTGGTACTCTCCTATGGGAAGTTCCACCCATGTTTCAATCGACCCACAGGATAACCGACTTGGACTGGAAGTCCAGGCAACAAGAACTGAAGGGTGACTGGCCAGAGCCGGCCACGCAGACATGGAGACGGGTTTTTTGGAGGCCCGTCGTAACCTGACAGGGGCGTTATAGGATGCCAAGGAGTACAAGATCACTTTGATCAATCCCAGGTGACCAATGAGGGATGAACACCCTGAAGAAATGACACGACCCTGTAAGCAAAACGCTGGAAGAGTCTTGGGACACCTTGTTTCTTCTTTTTTGTTCCCCGGTGTGTCACGTGGTCCGAGGTGCAAAACTGGACGCAGTCCGGCGAACGTCAACCCCTCGGAGCTGCGGCCCTCCCTCCAGAGGGGAACGTTTCTGAACGCGGCTCTGTCGCCAGATATCACCGGCAAAGCAGCATGATGGAGTTGGGACGAAGGCCCGTTTTGAGTTGTTGAGTGTGGAACCGGTAGCTCTACTCCAGAGTGCTGCGTCGAACTGGAGTGTTTTAGCCAAAAGGGGTTCCTGAAGCGAAGACCCTTTTTTTGCGTCAGAGGGTGGTGGGCATTCAATGTCTGGAAATTGGTAAACTCACTCACAAGGTACGAATGTTTGACTTTTCCAGAGGAAACGGATGAGGGAGGCCGAGCGGCCTTGACAGACCTTTTTCCTGTATCCCTGCGGAGGATGTCCATGCTTTTGGAGGCTGGCCGACCTGGTTTCTGATGACGTTGACTAGCACCCCATGCATCGCTACTGGAACCGTATAATGACTCATGACTTATGACTGCTCTCGATGAAGGGCATCATATGACTTTGACATGTCTAGGAGTACTAAGCGACACAGGGTTTAGAGAAGTAAAAATGGTGTCCACCAGGGTCTAACCAAGTTGCGTGTATTCATTTCTTGGAAGTGCAGAGTCCAGACATTCACGCACAGTCTTCCTTGAGGATGACATGTTGTGCTCCACACTGGGTTCTGAAATCCACAAGCGAGTCAATTGTTCTTTCTTTTTCAATCTTTTTCTTCCACATCCTGTTTCGACTGCGCGACGCAGGACATGTTTGCTGTCATGGACCTTCATGTTTGCTGTGAGACGCACGTGGCAGGACAGCAATGCAATTGAGACGGTGAATCAAGATGTGAGCCAAGAGATCATGGACCAAGCAAGGACCTGCGAGAGTCTGGGGTATCAACGTGCATGCTGCACGTCTGTTACGATGCTGAAGGAATGCAGCCATCATGGCAATATAAACATGTTGAGATGCCAGTCCTGCAATCGTTTGCCTTTTGTTTTTGTTGCGAAGTTGAAGGGCCCAGCAGACATAGAGGCCTGACAAGGAAAATCCAGGGCAAAACAACTGGGACATGTGCAACATGGACCAACCTTTGTGAGCTGCTTGTGTTGAGGACTCCAGATTTGGATGCATTCAGCTTGAATGGAGCTCAGCTCAAGGCAGGACCTTTGTTCGACCAAGAGGTCGAAAAAATGATCAAAGCTACTAGGAAAAAAATAGAAAACCTAATTGGAATGGCCTCCAACCTAGAAGTGATGGCCTCCAAGCTACTAGCGATGGCCTCCAACCTACTAGGAGGACATTTGGAAGGAAGAGGGGTGATTAGTCCAAAGCCGCCAACTCATCAGCCCTTGACCATCCTTTATGATGAGATTCACTTGTAACTTGTAACTGTCGACCTTGTCAACAGTGGAAGACACTAAAGATGAAAAAAGCTTGTACCAACCTGCAGTTCTCAAGTTCTCGAGTTGACTGCCACCTTTGGTGTGGCTCTAGTTCGATGACTCTTGACCAGCAAGAGTCATGTACCAGTTTTACTCCTTGGCACCAACTTGCAGGCACTGAGTGTGCGGATTCTGCGTGAGCACGAGAGTACCAAGGCGGAGAATGGACGGGCGGGCGGAGTACCAAGCTGTTCCACACAGAGATGGAAGCACCAGAGCTCCTCTTCCCACTGGTCCAAATCGAAAAGAATCGTAAGACCCAGCTCCTGAAGGCTGATAGGAGTGACTTTACCTTTTCAGGTGTGTAGTGACTCTCTTTCTTCTCGCGCCAATTCCACATCAACCACTCGCAGCCGCCCGTTTTCGGTCCACATCCACCGGGTCCAGGCACGGGGTCCGGGTCCGCGGCACCGCCAGGAGTTCGTCCGCCGCTTCGTGAAGCCGGTGGTCCTGGTGCAATTTGTGAACGTCATGGAAGCGTCACTTGGCACGTCGGGTGGGACGTCGAACAGGCGGGACGAGGTCGGGGGAGACCGCCAGGAGAGGTCAGATGAGGTGAGGCCACATGTGTCGAACAGGTGGTAGCCATACAAAGGGATATTGATTCCATGCGCATACCGCATACATCCGCATACCATACAAAGCCAGCAGTCTCCGGAGGGCCATTTAATTTACCATATGTTTTTTTGTTTCTTTTTAGTTTTCGTGGCTCCTGGCTTTTGTGGCTTTTGGCTTTCGTGGCTTTCGTGGCTTTCGTGGCTTAAGTGGCTTCTGGCTTCTGTGGCGTTTGGCTTTCGTGGCTTCTGTGGCTTTCGTGGCTTTTGGATTCTGTGTGGCTTTTGGCTTTCGTGGCTTTCGTTT